CAGTAGCACGTTTCGTTGTTGTTTGTCAAAATGTAAACGAAAGACTTGTCTAATCTACGGGGCCAACTGCAAAATTACTTGCCAGTTTTAATGATTTAGCAGAAAACTGTAGCTGGCGAAATGAATAAGGAAAAAGGAATAAGAGAGGTTATGACCTATAATTTTAATAGTTTAATAGTATTTTTCCTTTCCATTCATCTATCCAATTAATAAGGACACCCTCATTGTTAAGTAATATTTCACACTTGGTCGGATATGGGCCTTTAGCTATCAATTTAATTAATGGCCTTGTAGTCGCTTATACCTGTACCGTCCATTAGTTTCATTCATAAATCAATCCTTTATATTCTTACGTGGAAGAAAAAAGTTGTAAAAGACGACTACATTTACCAATATAACCCATTACAATTACTTTCGTTATTCGATATTCGATAAGAAAAAAAACGGGTCACTCCCATTGTTACGTAACAAAAAACCTTTCAAATGCATACTGCACACGAGCTATTGGTTGGTGAAGCTAATTTCACTCGAGCTTTAATATTTATGATGAATTTTAATTCCAGAAGGTTAAAAGTTGCATAATATAGATAGACATTTCTATTCCGTATAGAGTGGCAAAAAAACTGTTTTAGCCCGATTCTTAGAAAAAGAAGAGAAAATTAGGTTTTCCTTCAGTTATTAAGTTAAAAATAGTCTGACAATTTACTGAATAGACGAATTAAAAAGTATGAAAAGGGAATTACAAATAGCTGAAATGATTGCATATTTAGATATAGTAAAGATTGATAAAAATAATAATAGTAATAGTAATAATAATAACGATTTATAATAAAAAAAATTAACTAAGAAAACAATAGCTAGAACAATCAGTGAAATAGTAGATTCTTCCGGTTTTTTATTTATTTTTTTTATACTTCTTCCGATTTAAGTAAACGTAAAGCTTTATTGTTAGATATAACTTTTCCCTTATCTAAACTTTGTTTTTCTCCTTCCTTACAATTCCTTTTTCAATGATTTAGATAAAAAAATATATATAGTAAATTGTAAGAAATGTTTACATTCAATTTAAATATGTAAACACGTGATAAATGGTAAAGATTTACTGATGTTATAGTTTATTTTTTGTAGGGTTAAAAATATGACCTTATTTGGAGAGGCATCCAGTTTGTTTTCAAATAATAAAGAATAATTTGGTTTTTTTTCTTGTAAAGAAAAACTTTATTATTACTTTATTGTGCTTATTCATATTTCTGTTGGAATTTAAAACCTAAGGAAACCTCCCCTTTCCTCTCCTAGCCCCCCCCCCCCCCCCTAACTCCTCTGTCCCCTACTCTTCAATATACCTACGCACCCCCACAAATCAAAAACAAGTTTCTTACTGCTTATATTCTATATTAATATTTATGAGTGAAGAAGGTCAGAAACTGAATTCCTTGCTGTAAGACTTTTTAATAATGAATATATGTTTAGTTTTAAAGTTTATCTATAAAATTACCTCAAAGAGAAAGGAGAAATATATAGATATATGTATATTTAGGTTATAGATTATATAGATCCGTTAGATTTAAATTAAACAATAAAAATTCTCGATTAATAATTTAATTGATATTGTTTTTCTAATTTCTTTTTCACTCAGTAAATATTTTATATTGTTATTTTTATTATACATAAAAACCTAGGCCTAAGAATTATTTTCATTTTATTGTATACCATATCTATAACGAACTAGGATTTTTTATTATTATTGGTAATATACTACAGGGTATAACAGTGGAAGGTTTTCCTCAATCTTTAAATTGTTCTATTGATCAGTTCAGTTCCTACCAATTTTATCGATTTTTTATATATTTCAATCGTTCACTTGTAGGCCTTATTAGAAAGTTAGTCGTGCTGATTTTTTTTTTACCAATAAAATACGAAATTTTTTAGTAAATTTAGGTCTATACATATAACGTAATTGTTGTTGACTATAAGCTTTATAAAAAGTTCCGTTTATGAAGGCTTATTTGTTAGAATTCCTCTTTAAACTTCCATCTGCTGTCGTGAAAAACGACACAATAGCTTTTAGAAAGTTCCTTTTTAAGTGTTCAAAGTCTACTTTTGACTCAGTAGAAAAATTCTATAATCCTATGATTTATTCAAAAATGCTCTCTATTCAGTTTTCTATCGTAGTATATTTTATTATAAATAAATACATATTGCTTACACAACTTTATTGTACCAAACGGAAATCTGACGCCTGTCAAACTTCTTGGCGAAAGAGTGGGTATTATACCTTTGCAAGCTTTTCAGACAATATAGATATATTTATGTAGGATAAGCTGGATAGCAAATGCCATGTGTAAAGCATGATAGAAAGATCGAGATAGGTAGATTGATAGATAGATATTTAGATAGACCTATCCATGAAAAAGAGCTTAAGCACAGGCGGACTGAGCGTAGAGCATTTAATGCAAGTTTCTACCGACTACTTCATTGTCAATCGATCGATTCGTCTCATCTTTTATACAGAACACGAATCCTATTAGTAAAGCTGACAAACTCTGTTTTTTTTTTGTGAAATTTTCAATGTATAGACGAATAGATAGTATACATCGCACGTGCTGGACCCGCGGCTCACGTTTCAAAATTATTAGTTTCTTTTCTACAACCAGAATCCAGTCTTTATTTGATAAAGGTATTGAAATTGCCACAGGAAAATTCTTCCTCCATTGTTTATTATTAGGGGGTTCATTGAATAAGAAAAAGAGGAAGAGGAAAAAAAACGGAAGCTCTGGTAAACTTCCCCTGGCCACAAGGGATAACTATTTACTTTCCTTTAATCTTTACGCCATGTTTCCATTGAAGTACTCTAATAATGAAACCAATTAAATTCTTCGCATTTCTCAAAACTTGAAAGCTCGTCCCTTTTAATACTATAACCCCGGGTAGTTTATTGTTAAAAATGGGATAATAAGTTTAAATTGTAAGGACGTTATTTTTTAAGACCCTTATAAAAATTTTCAAACGATCAATGATTTTTTTATTATTTACTTATGCAAGTATTCAAGGGAAAAATTTGACAAAAAAGCAAACAATCAACGTGACTATGATATGCCGCCTTTTATCCCCTCTCCTTCACACCCTTTTCCCACCTAAATACATCAAAGAGTGCAAATGCGTAAACGTAAACTTTTTCTATCATTTTTATAAAATACACGGTATTTGTTTATTTTTTTATTATACTGTTTATTGTCTATTTTGCCATTTTTTTTTACAAATAGTCTTTAGAAGACTATGTAACATATTGAAACCTTGCATCCGGTTTGAGAATCCTTTATAGATGTACTTAGAACAAAAAAAAGGCAGAACAAAACCACTACAAACACTTTTACATCGGTGTTATACACAAATAGGCTGTATGTAATATATACAATACATTTACAATCATTCAACACTCCAGGCGCTCGTGCACTGGCGCTAAAACTAGAAACCGTCATTATTTACATTGACACGTGATTATAATGGCAGTTTTGACGTTTCCAAGCTATTGACGAATGTCACCATCCCGTCAATGGGGATTGTAGTTCGAGTCACGTGATAAAAAAGTAAATTTAAGGAAAAATCAACATAGAATTCTTAAGTATACTTGTGCAGTAAACAGCACGATGCAGAAGTACTTGAACTCGCCGACTTTCAAGTTGTCTCAAATTTTTTTTACATAATGAATTAGATTTTTTTTATTTCTCTTCTTATGCAACTTTTGGTTATATATTACAATATAAATTTGAATATTTGATGATAGCAGAAATATTCATATTTAATTTCTATTTTTTAGATATTAAAGTTAAGAGTATATATATATATATATACTGTATGTACTGTATATATCGTCTCTCTTTATACAAAAAAAAGGCCACATAATGAAAAATACGACGATATAAGTCGATAATATTGGATGAAAACTTATAGTTCTGTAGATATATTGTCGACTATAAGAGAGAAGAAGAGAGCAAGTCTATAAGTCGAACTCTGAGAAAGAAATCCCAAAGGAACTGAAAAATGACTACCAATCAATCGCCTTTTATAATTTTCATCCAATTTTCTAGCCTAATCCACCCCCCGTTTGCTAAAGGTGAGAATAGACTGACTAATTAATCTCTTTGAAGTGGCTACGATACTTTTTCAATAGGTTGATAAATTTGTACTTAAATTGTATGCTTTTAGTAACAATATTTCTATTTAAGAGCTTTTGTTTGTCACATTTTGTATATTCACCGCCGGGGAATCGTAATAGGTCTGCATAGCATCAAAACAAATTAATCCTTCGTAATAGGCTTAGTATTGTTCGTGGCGCCGCCCAATCGGACATCTTTAATTCAACAGATGTTACTTATAATTTGTTTCTAATTAAGTAATATCTAATTATAGGTTTGCAAATCTACACTGAAAACAATGAGCTCAGCTACTTTCGATATATGAAAATTGTCCCAAAAGATGGAATATTTTATGTCGGCTCAAAGTAAGTATATTTTTCTTATTCATGTTTAGTATAGGCCTATTTAATATAATTATCTTGTATTGCTTTGTTTTTTCTTATTATTAAACAAAAACGTGTGAAAAAGAGGGATAAGTCATTTTTTTTATAAATTTTTCATGGTAATAATAATAACAATAGGAGGAAAAGGGATTATATAATCATAGTTGAAGGAATTACAGATGTTCTATTTAAAAAAATCGAATCGACTTTGCATTCTTTTAAATATAGATTCCTTTAATACAAATCGTAGAGAACAGCGAAAAAAAGAAATTATTGAATATCGTTAAATGTATCTACTTTATATATCTATATATATATATATAAAGCGAAAAAGAAATCTTTATCAATAGTACGCCATCTAGTGACATTTTTTGCAATAATAATAATAGTAATAAAATATTTCATAACTAAAGTTTTACAAGATATTTTTTTTTATTAAAAAAATAAAGTATGAATGTTTTAGACTTTTTGTCTTTTAATTAATCATTTCCCGTAAAAATTAATAGGAAATTAATAAATTGTTAATGATTAAGATAAAAAATTTAATTAAAGGAAATAAGCAAGTCGAGCATTTCCTTCTGGCTTGAAGGGAATAACTGATTATTCATCGCCTTCACTTTTTAATAAACTGAATTTACTTTCATTGACTTGCCATTTAACCTTCCTTTAGAAGAATAAGGGACACATTACGAGTATTTTTTTATAGCTATTCTTTTATGCCCTTTGGTAAAATAAATAACACTATGCTCCATTTATTTTAATTTATTTTTTTATTTTTAGGCCCATGGCCTCTTAGTATGTCAACAAACTAGATTATTTCACATAATTTACTATTTTCTTAATTCTATTTGTGCTCATCATCTTCCAAGCTGATTTTTCTTCGTCTTGTTTCATTAAAACTGTTAACTGGTTGTAACATTGTTTATACTTTCTTTATAATCCAATTTTATTTTTTCTTCTCTCTCTCTCTCTCTCTCTCTCTCTCTCTCTCTCTCTTCCTGCTTTTTTTCTTTATCTTTCGTGTTGGAAGAAAATACGTTTAATTAAATGCTTCCGTTACTTCCTGAACTCGGAAAAGTACTAAAACAGGAAACTTAGAAAGTATTTAGCACAGAGATAAGCCTACTATTCTCGCTTTCTCTTGTTCAGTATAGAACGATATAAGTTTACAAAAAAATGGCAAACAGATGTCACTATTACCTTTAGAAAAAAGAGAGGTGAAGAGGATGAAAGAGAACAATGAATTATCACACCCTCTGTTCTCTATCAAGCTCTTTAGTTTTTGTTTACTAAACATTTGACTTTTTTACTATCCAAAGTATTAATGAAATAGAATAAATAAGATTAATTTACTCTAAGATTGAACTTTTGTTATTTATCGAACATGAAGGAAATGACATTTAGTCATATTAATAATGGTTTACTCTTTATCTTTTCTCTTACTACAGGAGCTTCTTGCACAAATTTTCCTTATCAGACCTACATAAAAATCCCGTTAAATCTGAAGAATTAACAAGGGAAAGCGCTTCAAAAGCCAAAATATGTCGAGAATATGCTAAAGGTGCAAGCGAAATATGTGGCCAGAATTTTATAAATTTTGTTGGTATTGACACACCGGTGGAGAAATTAGTCAGAGACGGTTATAAAGTAGATTATGAAGAGGAAATAATAACTTGCGGAACAAATTACGCCAGTCCAGAGCTGTTTGTATTGAACGTAAGTATAATTAAAAAGTATATATATATATATATATGTATTTTTTATATAGATTTCTATGATTCTTTGTTATCAAGTAATAATTAGGCTGTAATTATAAACCTTATACCATGTAATAAAGAGGTCGATAAGGAAAATTCTATATAGGTTTATAGTATTTTCACTCGAGTCATGTACATATAAATTAGCTACACGCATTAAAGAAAGGCAGTAAAACTTGGTTTGCTGTTAATAATACTGTATTCTATAAGAAGGGAGGGCGGAATAAGAGTAGGAGAAATGGCAGTTAATCAATTGGTCGCTTTCCATTATAGACCTATTTAATCACTATCAATTTTTTTAATACAGAAAAGAAATCTAAGAATTAAGGAAGTTCCACAAGGAAAGCAATTGCCAAGTGGTAAAATATTTTGTCTTGAAACTCCCGAGAGGAAGTTTACAAGATCAATGGTGGTGACCGATAAAGGGACACCAAAAAATCAGCCGGCTGTATATGTAGCTGGTAGAATGTTGGAGATTGAGGCTTTTAAATTTTACAACCGTCTTTGGCGTTACCAGTTTGACGTAACTGAAGAAAGGATATCTAAGCTTGGCTCTAATGTGGGTAATGAAAATCTGTTTCAGCCTTCCAGTAAGTAATGAGATACCATATGTTGACAAATGGCGCCATCTATCGGACTTTAAAACAACATTGTTTTTCTCCTTCAGGTCATACAACAGTAATAAAGATGGTTGAAGTTAAAGACCAAGATTATTTACTCTATTTTTTTAATGAATTAGCATTAGAATATACGCCACCAAAATCCGAACCAAGTCAATTGGTAGCTCGTGTTGCTCGAGTTTGTAAGGTAAAATAGAAACCAAAAAAACATAGAAAAACTTTACTATTCATGAAATTCTCTAGAATAGATTAACATAATAGAATTTTATAATTTGCAGAAAGATTCCAGTTTAGGTGGATGGTCAAGTCTTGTAAAAGTACAACTAGTTTGTCAAAGCGATGAAAAATTCTCTCCGGACCAAACTGTCATCTATAATAAACTAATAGCACTAACAATAAGCGAAGATGGTGAGAGATTTTATGGAATTTTTAAGAACAATGGGTAAAATAAATTATTTACAACTTATTCTAAAATTCTAAATCACTTAATTAATCGTTTAATAGAAAGAAATCCTCACAAACTGGCGTTTGCTCTTACTCTTTATCTGAAATCAACAACGCCCTTAATGTTGATACATTTTACGAAAAAAGAACAGAGAATTCATTATCTTTTCTTATTCCTTCTTCTGTTCCTAAAGATATTCCTTACAAACCAGGCATATGTAGACCTTCATCAAAATCCATTGTCGATGAGGAAAGAGTTCGTAAATATTTGTCAAAAACAACAATAAAGCATGATACTCTGATTAAAACACCTTTTACCTTATCCAAACCCGGTATAATCTGGAATCATATTGCTGTGGATGAAACTTCAAATAGAGATGAAAAGATCTTTTACCTAACAACAAATACAAGAGGAATATCCAAAATTGCGCTAAAGGTCAATGGTTCTGTTGATGATATAAGCGAAATCTATCCCTTCGACTCATCCCTTGAAGAAGATTTCTATAACACTTTTGAATTGCACGGAAATTCAATTTATTTTACCACAGACGCGCATGTCGGTAAATTAAGTTTAAAAGAGCTTTGTGCAAGCTACTCCACTTGTACAAGTTGTTTATCTGATCCTGACTGCTCATGGGATTCGATAAAGAATACTTGTAAATACCCTGGCGGCTCACTTTCAGCCCCTGTTCACGTACAATGTTCAAATGGAATGATGCAAAAAGATTTGTCCAAAGCTAGAAGTATTCAAGCTATTAAATTATCATCTAATGCATGCATAAAGGAGAATAAAGATATACTTAGTAGAAAAAAATATGTTAGAGGAACTAATACAGATATTTTAATGTCCTGCGAATCCTACTGCAACGTGGTAGACGATAAAGTTCGCTGGTTTAAGAATGGAGAAGAGCTAACGTTTAACGATAAAAAATATACAATTAATAAAGAATTTTCTCTGATTGTTTGGAATGTGACCTCTGCGGAAAAGGGTCTTTTTACTTGTGTAACAGGGAATCTCAATATAGTTCTCTCAATCTGGGAAGTCATTACTGCAGGTGAGAGGAAATTCTCTTTTTTCTTTTTTAGCTTTTCACGAAAGTCGCCTCAAGTACAACTTATTATAAAAAAAATTTACCATTTATGCTTAAAATAGGAATTTTTTCATATCTCAATCAAGTTATGCCTAATAAAATGATCGTTTACAAAGCTATTTAACTATACCGTATTTGAAACGATCTTTTAGTCTTTAAAATTATAAACAATTATAAGAATAAAACAATGTCCCTGATTTCAAGACAAGATTAAAGAGACAAAAAAGAATTAATTAGTTTTGTCGTATGTAAAAGTGGTTTTAAATTCAGCTTTTAACAAAGATTTAAAAAGCAAATAGATGAATTACTGGGTGCTAGTAATTAATTTTTTCTCTTTGAATTAATTATTTTATCATTGTCACTCAGATTGTAATCCAAATGATGCCGAATGTATTTGGAGGGATGAATTTAATAAATGGTGTCAGAAGTTTGATGAATATACACTGGCATTCAATATATGGAAGTGTATGGAAGTAAGTTAAAATTGGAAATAATTATTATGTCTTTCTATTTAATAATACTCTTAAATTGTAGAATTCCTGCCAAAACTCAGATGCGGACACTTGTTATTCAAAAGAAGCGAGAGTTGTTTGTGAAGAAAAACACAGAAAATATACAGATGTTTCAAACAATAGGTAACAAGACTGAGTATATGTATATATGCATATACTGTATATTCTGTATTTTGTATATATACTAATAAGAAAAAGAATAAGCGTGCTTCCTTTTTTGTTACAATAACGTGTTTCGTAGCTGTGATAAAAAAAAACTGCTTTATTTACAAATAAATATCACTGTCCTTAATAATTAAAATATAATAAATACAATATATAGTACGTATTTACTTAATCAACATATGGGAAATTTCCGAATAAAATATTTAAACAACTTTAATTATACAGTATATGGTATTATTAGAGATATAATTAAGAAAAACATAAAAAACTTATATAAAATTCTTTTATTCAATAACTTATTATTTAATAGATTTTTTTTTAAAATGAAAGAGATACGTCACAATCATAGTTCATCCTATAAACAAAAAAAAAACCACTGTTCTTTATATAAGTTATGATATAAATAGACGTTTTATGTGCATGAATATAATTGGTCTACATGGATAAACTCTCTTTGTAATAGTATTTTTATCATTTTTATATATTTAACATTTGTAAGGTATAACAAAAAAAAGAAAACCTATTCTGCTACCTTTAAAGTAAAGGTTATTATTAGGTTGTGAGGGAGAAAAAATGATTATTTTTACTTTTCTTGCTTATTAAGGCCGTCTATATATTGGTTTCATTTTCATAGAACAGTTTATTTTATACAATCACGTGCAAAGTATACACGATAATTTAGTAGTTTATTTATTAATTAATCCTTAAATCATCTCTACATCTCTCCATTTATTCATATAAGCACATGGACATAAATATACTTATAAATCCGAACAGACATTTAAATTACTGAATATATATTTTTCTTCTCTCTCTCTCTCTCTCTCTCTCACACACACACATACAAACTCTCCTCTCATTTATTACTTCACTCATTCACTAATTCTCTACCTCCATCTTAAATCGCTCCTTCTTCTCTCGTATAAAAAAAAAATGCAGAAAAAGTATATTTTACATATGCAGCCAGAAAATAGTAAGAATCTTTAAGATGGTAAATATTTCTAATAAAAAAAAGACTTTTTTCTTTATTTATAATTTATTAAGAGTTATCTTGTTAATTAATTATTCTCTTCCTTTAATTTTAAATTACATAGATTGGAAAAATAAAGAAAAAAGGAGAAAACCAAAAAAAAAAAAGTCAATCTTCTTTAAAAGTATATTAAAAGCCATTATTTGACTACTCATTCACTTAAATTTATGACAAATAATTTTCAGAGTAAAATCGACGCACAACAAATGACTAGTACTGTAAAAAGTACACAACAACACACTTACACATGAACAATGCTCCAGTGAATTTTTACTTGAATGCCAAAGTGCTTATGACTAGAACGTTATGTTCGAGTATTTTGCTTGAGTTTAAGTTTGTACATCGAACAAATCAAGAGCTGGAAAAAAAAAACGCCCAAGCAAAAAATTATAAACTGAATATTTAACAGCTTCAATGGCTCAAAAATTATTTTTTTTTCTACAACATGTACAGTAAGCATTAACGAGCACCTAATTAGAAAAACGGGTCCAGTTATTACATTATATAATATAAACAATTGAAAACAGCCTAGGTAGTCTGGTAATATCACTTCTGGTTTTTTTTTTGAACGGATTAGTTGTCCGACTATTGATGAAGAAAAGTGCAACAATAATATTTATAGTTGTAGGAATAGTAGTAGTGGTAGTAGTAGTAGTAGTAGTAGTGGTAGTAATAATAGTAGTGATGGTAATAGTATAGTAGTAGTGTAGTGATAATAATAATTGCAGTAGTAATAATTGAAGAAGGAAATGAAAAAATAAATTGGTTAAAAATTATTCTCTTTTGGTGTTTTAACTTAGGAAAATTTACTTTGAAACGGCCGAATAATCTATCAAAGAAACCTTTTTTCGGAGGTTGTGGTAGTGAATCCTCTACTAAATCATCAGAGGGCTCACCGTCTGGTCCGAATTGATTAAGTTCTTTGAAACATTCTGTTTCAATCATCTGTAAAAAAAAAAAGATTATATAGATTGAAAACCAATTTTTTTTATATAAACATTCCAAAAAAAATCCTAACCTCATTTTGCCAGGGTATTGAAACACTACCAGTGGAGAATTTTGAGTAAAATGAACTATCACTTGAGTCAATATTTACACCTTTTACGGTTGAAAATTGCTCAATATCCAAAACATCTTTGGCATAAACAGATCTTGGCTGTAAACGATAATAGAAAATAGAAAAAGATAGAGATGAATAAACATATGTATATAAGCGAGTTAATATTAGTCAAACTATACAAGCTTTCGATATATTGAAGTGTGTATATTGTATAGTATATATGTTATATTTTGTGTAATGACTAATGGACTTAGACATAGAAATTGATTCGGATAAATATTTAAGGATAGGTTTAATCAAAAGCTAGAACAGTATATACTTTTAGTAGTAGTAAAAGCTAACTACTTAGGGATGCCATAAACGTCTTACATAACCAAACTTACATTTACCTAATCTCTCCTAGTCGTTTTTAGCAGCAGGTAATTTTTCTATCAGTGAAAGTAAGCCCATGGTACAAGATGTGCAATTTTGATACGAGATAAGTAAAAGATAAAATTGAAACAGAATGCCATATATACTCTGATTGCCAGAAGCCTATAAATACATATATATATATATATGTGTGTGTGTGTTTGTGTGAGTGAGTGTATTATAAAAAGACAAACTATAAATAGAAAGTAGAAAAGATATAATGGCAATACTAAACGTAGTTTCTTTCGCGAAAAGTCGTTAAGTAGAAACTTGTATATAAGGCTTATTCTTCTTTTTCCGACAGAATGGGGAAAAATTACCGTACGTTATAAGGTCGCGTGATCAAATCAGTAGAACTATATCTTCGTCTGGTTAACAATCTAGCTAGTTTACTATAGCTTTATTTTTTTTATATGCTAACACTGAAATGTCTAAAAAATTTTCAAATTATTGCACTAAGAGTTAGATTAGTCTTTTGGTGCCAACTTTATTACAACAGTTTTTCGCTATAGGCTTTCTAGATTTGCAATTAAATTAAGACTAATAGTTATTCATAATACGGCTGGTCAAGTCATTTTCTCAACCTTTTTTCCAGCGTATTTCCATTCATCATATATATTAATTAACCTACTTGAATTAAAAAAAGTAGGAGTTTTAATTTTTTATTACTTTCAAGGTTGAAGATAGTAAGTATATTAGACAAATGAAAAACTGTTCCTTTCTCATTGACATTGGAGTTGTTGAAAGAATATACTATGCATATAATGATATATTCCGAATACGAGTAATAACTAACGGTATATATTATTGAGTTCTTATATACTGGGCAAAGCAAACTCGATATTTAGTTACACCCACCCTTTAGTGATAATGAAAAAAGAGAAAGATAGACTTACGTCTGGAACGAAAGGAGGTTCTACCATTCCTGCCTCAAGTCTTTTCCAATTAATATCTTTGAACCATGTATGAGCCTTAACATCCTCACTACTGTTAGACCCCAGGCGTGATTTAGAATCTTTACATAATAACTGCAATAAAAAATTTGGGGGTATTGAAACAATGTTATTTGTAAAACGAGAAAAAAGTACGAACTTGACAGCAAAGAGATTTAGCGTGCTCTGGAAACCTATCTGAATACTGTTCTCTTTCCTCCTTGACTCTTCTATCGACTTCTTCTCTCTTTACTCGCTCTCTTCTCAATCGGAAAGGCGACTATAACAGTAATAAAAGTACATTAAGTGAAGCACACAATATTCATTCTATACATTGGAAATTTCTATAGTGCTATTAGTTATACTAAGACGACATATAAGAAGAATAAAATATCGGGTCAACACAACTAATTCATTAGTAAATCGAAGGATATTATAAAGTGACCGTGATCTTCCACCTTCGTACACAAGTTAATCAAGTATACAATTTAATTATCAACTTAGCGCCTGTCAATGTATTTAAAAAACAAGACTTCTTTAAATTTTAAAGACGTCACTATATATTTATAGATATTGTACTAAGACCTTGTAACCTTTTATAAAAAGCATTTAATAAAGAAAAAAACTGATACTAATTGTAATTTCTTTCGTCCTTGCTTTTATGAAAATACGCTAACAGCTAAAGTTCAGTAAACGAACTAATTGAAATATTTCTCATTTTGAACTAAAATTAATACACCTATATCAAAAGGCTCTTTAAATAGTACAGTTAGAAAATATAACAAGAAAATTGATTTTTATATATTTAAATATAGGTATGTTTTTATATTTCTTCATCAAATCTTCGAGAAAGAAAGTTTATTCAACATTCCTTTATATTTTCTTTTTTTTAGTCTCGACGTTCTAATCATTAAACGATTAACGTAAAATAAATAAAACTGACCCTGCATTCGATCATTTCGTAAATAATGCAACCCAAACCCCACCAATCCGGAGAGAAAGTATACCGCTCGTTCTTAACAACTTCCGGAGCTGGTAATTTTCGTTAAAAAAAGTAGGTTATATATGCTAAAAAGGAGGAATTTAACTTGACTGAATAACAATTACCCATATAGCCGACTGTTCCAACTCTACCCCTGATTGTAACGCCTTCTTCGATTTCAACTGCCAAACCCAAATCAGAGATTCGAAGGTGACCTGAATACATGAATTTGTTTAAGACACAAAATAAAACATTTATGGGAAAAACGCTTTACCCACCATGGTCATCTAATAGAATATTTTCCGGTTTCAAATCCCTGGAGTTGTATTAATGTAATTAAGTTGAAAATATATGGAGAAACAACAAGATGAGCGTAAATATCTACCTATATGCAATTCTAGCTTGATGTAAATGTTGTAGACCACAACAGATTTCTGCAGTGTAAAATAAGGCTCTTTTCTCATCGAAGCCTTCGTTTAAGCCCATATTATGTATATGATACTTCAAGTCTCCTCCGTTCATTATTGTTAAAACAAGACATAAAGCGTCCCTGGTTTCAAATGCGTAAGCTAAACTTACCTAAAAGAGAAAATAAAAGAAAATTGTGTAATGACAAAAACAAATAAAGATTTAATAGTCGTAATAAATCATAAAAATTAATAGTTACTATTTATAAATCAAAACATTATAATATATATGTACGAACTGTCTACGTATGTGGATACAATATATAAGATATACAGTATATAAGATGTATATCAGTATATTTAGGTTTTTATTGAATAATAGTAACCATCTGTAGTTTGAAAAGAAAACAAGGATGAAACGAATTTAAGCATCAGAATTTATGACTTGTAATAATACAATAATTTTTGTTGAAACTATCCTTGTTTGCCAAAATGCTGCTGTTGAGTGATAAAAGTGTCAGAAAAAGACAATTAAACTTTTTTTCTCCTAGAGCTAGTTACTACTATAAAATAAGAAAAGCGTACTAAAACAATTTATAGTGAGAATTTATCGTTCAATGTCTTTTTTAGCATGTTGAGGATGTTTTATGAGTATATTACGACTTTAATGAAAATAAACTTACTACGAATCGTGAGTTTACTTTTTGCAATATTTGCTTTTCATTCAACGCCATTGCCTCTCCCTTTCTTTTCTGAGAAAATACAATTATAATGAAATTAGAAATAATATTGACAACAGTTTTACACGAACTACTTTTGTTTCAATGATAAATGATATTAACGATAGAAAGTTTAGGTGCCTATCTATCACCGGATAAGCATCGAGGCGTTTAGAACTGAATAAATTATGATAATTACCTTTATTCTTTTCTTTTCCAGTTTTTTACAAGCATACATTTTACCAGTTGCTCTTACTTGACAAGCACAGACTTCACCAAAACCCCCTTTCCCTAATACTCGATACATACGGAATGTATTTTTTGTAACTTTTTGGCTATAGAAATAAATAACAAAAATATTAATAAAAGAATAAGGAGAACGAAATATATGTTAAAACATTGTCAATTATTTAAGTACTATACAGTCATAATTATACTGATAAATTAAGGGCCAAAGGATATTTTAAAAAAAAATGTGAGTAACTCTACACGGTTAAATGTCATTGCCTAAATTAAATGCATCTAATAATCTGATCTCACTTCTACGATTTAATAAACTTTGAAATATTTATAATGCCAATGTGAATGAAAAAATCCTAAAATTTCAAACAATGTCAGAATTTCTAACAAGAATGGTAACATTAAATATATCCTTATTGCTATTAGAATTGATGATTTTTTATAATACCCTGGTTTTTTCTTTACGCGATTTCTATATTTTCTTTATATCATACTTAGCCAAGGTTTTGACCGATCGTTTAAAGACCTATTCTTCAGGTTGACTGCTGAGCTATGATTGAAAATTGTAACTAGCTTGGGGTGATATGAAGTCTAAAGAGCTTTGTTGGAGATTGGTAAAAAATTGATATAATTGAAGGAAATCATTGGCTGTAAACGAGGTAAATAAAGGTTGAACCTCTAGAAATGACGGTGGGATGACAGAAAAGTGTCCACTTTAGTAATTAAACTTGAGTTTCCAATAATATATTTGAATTCTATGGATATATAACTTAAGAAATGTCCTTAACTTCTATTATAAAAGTTTATCGTAGATAGAGATAGTATAAAATATAGGCATACTATATATATATAAATACGATGATGGGTATGGCATATTTATATTTAAGTATGCAGAAGATAAACTACGTCCTACAATGAACACTAGTTTTTCCAAATAAATGCTCCTATTTGAGTAGTATTTCATCTACCTGTAAAATTTAATCATGATATTAAGGAAGGATGTCTCAAATTAGGTCAACCAATCAGTCATCTGAATGTTTTTTTTCAAAGTGCGGATTATAGGAATAAGAGGAAAACAAAACAGAGATTGGACATAGCAAAAAAGCTTATTTCTTATCTTTATATAAACACTTATAACGAAGCCGATTGCTTTATGCAATGAAGCATATCTCATTTCAGACCTGACCGGTAAAACTGTTACATTACAAGAACACTAACAGAGCTAGTCTACAACGAAAATACAAGCATGGGGTTTTAACGGGTAATTGTAGCAAAGGGGGAGAGTGTTATAGAAGGAAAAATATTTGATTAGTGATGTGCAAGTACAAAATATTGGCTTATTAGTTCAGTAATTGAATAAAAACTGTTTCCCGTACTACTGAGTACTTGTTAACGATATTTCCTATTGTTTTTGTTTATTTTTCCCTTTGGAAGAAGAAAATTACTATGTGAAAGACAAACCTTTCAAGGTATTTCCACTGTAAATATCGTTTGAAATACATGGATGAAAGAAATCCTTGAAACGGTTCGTGACTAAGAAAATCCAAAATAACCCTGCCAACACAAAAAATCAATTATATATGTGGCGCCTACTGTCAAAGCAGGCCTAATTTTCTCTCCTACTTACTGCGAGCATCTTTTGAAGAGGTCCTTATCGGACGGTGATTCTGACATAACAGTCTTGCATTCATTAATTAAATCGTCGCTGATTTTACTCAAAACATCTGGAACCTAAGAAGGAAAATAACTGTATGATGATGTTTTTTTTCCATATATATTTATATATATATTTATAAATATGTATAAACAAATTTACATCTCCGCCAAAAAATTTATCCGTTATTTGCGATGCCAATTCCGCTCTCTTTTCATTCATGGCAACTTCATATTCTTTCTATTATTGTATATAAAACATTATTATGTACTTAAAAATCCTTTTAATATCTTATATCTAGGAAAAATTTCTAATAGTATAAAACACTAAGTACAAATATTAAAAAAAAAATAACTACAAACCACTGAATCAAGAAATAAACTATAATTTCTATATTCTGGTTTCGTATCGCAAAACATGCGAAACAATTCTTTTCCAATAGGCTGTTGCTCAACAATATATGGATAATCCAGAGCTGTAATTAAAGAGAGAGAGAGAGAGAGAGAATAAAAAAATTAAAGAAAGCTAATTAATAGAAGACAAATTATAATATATTTTTTCTTTTCATAATTTATATATATAGATAGAAAACATATAAGTTCAAGTCTAACTAAAATAAAATATATTTTTTCAATCGATTCCTATTATTATCATTATGAAGGTTACAGATAAACAATTATAAAAAATAAGTACTTTAAAATTTTTTTTAACCTCATCATAAAGGTTAAAAAAAATGTTTTTTTTAATAGCAACTTAAGAACTTTTTTAGTTTTTATGTTCAATTTATTTTAGCCTAGAATGGATAATTTACATAAAAAGACATACACACATATGTATATATATATATATATATATATATAAGTATAAATATAAGAGATTAAGGGGGGAGGTTGAAGAAAAATAATGAATAAAAATAAATTAAGACTACCAGCTAGTTTCAGCAGGATATGTAAATTCTAATAAGTGTTAACATACATTCAGAAATAACAAAGAACTATCACAATAAAAAAAAAGGCCAGACGATGAGGAAATGAATCAAAAGTTTGAGAAAAAATATTCCTTTTTATTTTTTTTTTTTAGGTATAACTAAATTCTAAAAATAGATACAATAGAGTAGATGGATCAATTCATTAATAGATTGGATGTTTGAAGTCTATTCTTGCCTCTGTATCCTTACTATATATAAATATATGCCAAAAATATCTTAAGAAATCTTCAATAATAATTTGCTTATTATCAACTATAAATTTGAAAATGTTTTTTGATCGTTAGGGTGTAAAGTGAATTAAGTAGCAGCTTAGAGATACTTTGATGATTTCATTTTACACGAGCGATTGATACTGTATATTTTTGTCAATTACCTTGTCTATACATGCAGGAGCAATAAAAAAAGATAACTAAACACACTTTACAAAATACTACTTTAAAAATGCTCAATATTTAAATTTAATATATTTTTCTTTCAGTACTCAATAACATAGAATAAAAGAAGGAAAAAAATAAGAAAATATAAGCAATAATGAATTATAACTAATTTCTAAGATAAATCAATTAATAGCTCTATCAGTGTAGTGTCTGCGAAAGTGATGAAAGAATAATGTAGTAAGCCCATCATCTGCAGCACTTGTGTCAATGTCCAAAGTTAATCTTATATTATAATATAGCTTCAGTTCACCGCTGAGAAATAAAAGAAACTGCTTCATACATAATTAATATGAATTAAAGTGTTACTCAAGTGCTAACTTATATTTTTACGGCAATTTTTACTAATAAAATTCTGGTTTACATTATTGATTAGAGTAGAGCAATCATGTCAAGGTAATTACAAAACCGTTATATAAAGATAGATGAGGCTGCTAGCTGATGTTAGACTATTGATTGGAGCAAGAGAGGTATTTTCCTGTTTCCGCTCAGTTAGTTCTGTTTAAATCATCCTATTAACTGCAACGTCGAATAGCTCGAGAAAATTGCACAAATACCTTATGCATTTCGCCTACTTGTTCATTTCGTGCAAGGAAATACCATGACACGTGATAAATTCAACATTGAAGTTGTAGAAGACAAGGGTGAGGTATTGGTTTTAAGGTTAAAGGGTGAAGGGAAAGGAATATAGAGGATAATTAATTAATCAATACAAATAAGTAAACATTATTCAAAAACGAAAAAGGAAATATCGAAAGAATATAGACAAACTATAAAGTTAAAAAATAGAATATACTGACACGATTTACAGTGTTAGTCAAAAACATGATTTTACCCAGAAGGTAAAAAACTCTACTCACGTATCTTATCTTTAATGGGCAAAGCCTCGGATATGTGTGGAAATTTCAGAATCTGCTTCCATTTCTTACTCTTCCCTTTACGTTTACCACCTCCTCCTGGATAATAATAAGAATTTATTATGTACATATATACATATGTACTATATACATATACAGTTTAGGTTATGTATTATCACAACTATATTATGAATAATAAACTAAAATACTTTTATACATAATTTAATGTTTGTATACATCAATTTACAAATGTTAAAAATATAAAAACATATCATTCTAGGCGTAAATATTATTTCTTTTTATATTCTTTCAGCGTTTTTGCTGCTTTTTTTTGATGTTTTATTTACATTTACTTATAAGTATGCAATAAATATCCTGCACACATATATATGTAGATGTACTATTGTATAAAAAGTACCAAATAAACGCTACACACGATGTACTAATGTGTGGGCTATGTGTTGTTTAGATCCATATTTGCACAGACTTGTATTCGTATACAAACACTCTTTTACACAGGCTTTTGATATTAAAGTATATCAATAAACATATAGGTATGTGTATGTATGTATGTATGTATGAATGTGTGTATATCTATATAGAAATGATTATTTAAACGTTAACATTTATAATTGCATACATGTATATGTTTTCTATATGCCGTATTACGTATTGCTTATACTATATGTGTGAGCTGAAGGCTGCATAGATAGAAAGGAAAAAACATACTTATATAACTTATATATATATATATAAGAACATAGTGTAGATACTGTACATACTGTATCTTTTTGTTCATAGATAGATAGATTAAAAGTATGATGTACACATTCGTATAAACACTTATCCGAACACGAAAAGATATATAAATATAAATATATTCAACAGTACATGTACATATATATAAACCACATTGACAAGGCAAAAAAAAATAACAGTCGTCTTCGGCAAAGCCATTATCGATTATATTTTACCTTCTCTTGCCTTAATGTAGACTGTATTCGCCACAATATTTTCGAGCTCCATTTCTAAGCTTTCCTATTGATGTTATCAATATCTCAAATGTAGGTAAAGCGTGAGATAAATTGCATAAAGCTGGGTGTGGTACCTATACAACAATTTTATGCAGTCGATGTACGGTCTAACTAAATACTGGCTAGCAATATACGTGGCGCTGGCGAATCTAACCAATCAGACCCCTTCAGTCGTGTTTATAATTTATTCGTAAAGTTTTGACGGTATTTTATTATATATAACAAAAAAATACAATGATCTTTTAAGTTTCCTGTCATTTGATTCTAAAAAATGGATTATAGAACGCCGATGAGACACATTACAAATTATACCGCTCAATACAATATAGTTCCAATTGTACTTAAAGAACTTCGAATGTATAACACATATAAAAAAAACACATTTAGACAATGTTATATAACAAATATTTCATAATATTTAAGCGTACAATCATATACCAAAGCGAAAGTCATGAAAACAACGTATTAATTTCTAGGAATGACGATTTCTATTTCTTTTTATTAGTCATTTAACACATTGGTTAAATTGTTCAACTTCAGAGGATTGACATATTCAAGTAGTTCACCAATTAAATATCTTTAAAGGAAAACTTCTGTTTATTTTCAGTTTGTATTAAGGAAATAATAAACCCGGAAGTAGAAATAAGTACAAGGAAGGTAAAAAGTTGTTGAATTTAATAATAACCAGAGAGAATAAAAGAGTTTAATGAAAGAGACTATGCCATATTAAATTAATACTAAAAAGATTTACCAATAGCTTAACATAACTTTTACAATTCATATGAAAAAATAATAGTATCATCAATGTTTTTTTTATAACACTTTTGTGATACAAAAAACAGGAAATCAATAGAAGAATAAGGGTTAAATCGAAGAAAAATAGAGGGAACAGGAAAAAAGATATGATGATTAATAAGATCAACAAATCTTATGTCACTGTTTATATTATTTAAAAAAATGAAGAAAAATGTTGTAAAATCTTTATAGATAGAAGATACAACGATTTCGGCATCCATTTTTTTTTCAATTTGTCATAATTTGTGATGTTAAATATTGTCTTTTTGTTAATTGAAAACATCTAAATAATTCTTTCTATGGCTAATCTAAAGCTAAAGGAATTTAAAGTAGAATATATATATATATATAAGGTATATATATATAAGGTATATATATATATATATATATATATATATATATATATAGAGAGAGAGAGAGAGAGAGAGAGAGAAGAGGAAGATAGGGAGTGAGAGAAGGTTAGGAGAAAAGTTGATATTTTCTATTAGAATTGAAATAAGACTAGGAATTTCTTTTCTTGTTAAAATTAATCAGAAACGCAACAAGTGACGCCCCTTATATTCGGAGCATTGACGTTCAGTAATTAGAAGTATCGTTTCTTCGACCGAGGCCGAAGACTTTTATTATCTTCCGAGAGGTAGCGCAGTCATCGATGCGGAGCCAGTCCAGGCATATTAACTAACTTTAAAAGGAATATTCTGTAGCGAAAAAATATATAGTCCGATAATCATTCTAATTTAGGCCTATAATACAAATGAATATTTTCTTAAGAGTACATTATTATTAATTACCTGGACGTATGAACGACTATACATTAAATAACCTTTGTACGTTGTCCTTACATAATTTGTACAGAAAGCTGGAGCACGTAACCACAGTAATTTCCCAGAATTTAATTAAGGAGCGTTTCTTAATTGATTTCTCTATGACTTTCACTTCATATGAGCAAATTGACGAAATTTTATAAAAATTTACTGTCCAAACACATCTCTGCAGAAATATTCAATTTTATTTGCATAATTACTCCCTCAGAAAGATATAGCGCCTGCAAAATTCCCTGACTTTCGTGCAATACCCTAAGTTCGTTTATGAATGAAATACTAAAAGAAATCGCATGGGAATATATATATATAAATATGTCTATAAGTAGAGAGATCGAACGGAAATAGATAGAGAGACGACAGTGAATTGTTTTTTATGGTAAAACATGTTAAAAGATTTATCTGTAGAATTGTCTTAAATTGGTAAAAAAAGATATCTTAAAAGAATATAAAGAATGATAATAGAAGGAAGGAGAATTAATATATAAATC